TTAATAAAAATCAGGACTAAAGGTTAATATTTAGTTAAAAAAAAGTGAATATTTGGTAAAAAATAAAGGATAAAAAATCAAAATTCAAAATTTAAGGGCTAAAAATCTAATTTTAATAAAAATCAAGACTAAAAAGTGAATATTTAGTAAAAAAATAAGGATAAAAATCAAAATTCAAAATTTAAGGGCTAAAAATGTAATATTGGAAAAAAAAGGAAAAGAGAAGAATACCAGAAAAGGTGTAGATGAGGTTTGTACGCAAGTGAAGAGTCTGGGAGAAGGCATCAAATGGATGGTTCCTCGCACGTGCCACTATGAATTTGTTGCCATTTGCTTCTTCTCTATGCTCTATTTTTGCCCTCCCAAATGCTAACCATCCTTTCAACCCATCATTCAACTCTGGGTTCTCCACTATCCCTCCCTTGTATTGAGCCTCTTCTGGCTTTGACAAACACTGCCCAAACACACCCAATCGTTAACAATTTTGGATCGGAATCGAGACTACAAATAGACCCGACACTACTCCAGTCTCCATTTTCGTTCCAGATCAGTGTCCCGACGTTCTACGTCTCAATTTTTGTTAACTTTTTATCCGATTCTGCTTTGATCCGTTACATATCGACGTCAGTCTTACTGTTTTAGAACGGGGCAGAGGTTTCCACACCCTTATAAGAAATGCTTTGTTTGGATTTCACAGTCCACCCTCCTTGGGGGTCAGCGTCCTCGTTGGCACACCACCCCCCGTGTTTGGCTTTGATACCATTTGTAACTGCCCAAATCTACCACTAGCAGATATATCCACTTTGACCAGTTATTTATAGCGTCAGACTCATAGTTACTAGGGAGACTTTGTTCCCCTGTTCACTCGAGGTGGGATCTCACAATCCACCCTCCTTCGGGATCAGCGTCCTCATTGGCACGACCCAGTGTTTAGCTCTGATACCATTTGTATCATCTCAAATCTACTAGCAAATATATCCACTTTCGCTCGTTACTTAGCCATCAGACTCAGTTTTAAAATGCATCAATTACGGAAAAGTTTCCATACACTTGTAAGGAATGTTTTGTGTCCCCTGTTCACTCAGTATGGAATCTCACAATCCACCCTCTTGTGGGCAAGCATCCTCACTAACACACCGCTCGGTGTCTAGCTCTAATACCATTTGTAATAGTCCAAACCCACCACTAGTAAATATCGTCCGCTTTGACTCATATTACATTATCAGTCTCACGATTTCAAAACACATCTACTGGAGAAAAATTCTCACATCATTATAAAGAATGTTTCGTTTTCCTCACCAAACAATATGAGATCTAAGAACAATTTAATGATAAGGTATTTGACATATTAATGTTTAAGTCCCTACCTCGACATGAGTCGTGTAGTCATATGACAATGCATCTATCCCGAAACCTGCAAAAAAAAAAAAAAATATCGTAACCAACCAAACAATTAACAACACGACGATTTTTCTTTTCTTTAATTCAAACAATATAAACTAAAAAAAAAAAAAAAAAA